AAAATCTTTGTAATGTATTAACAAGATCTTATCTTCCACCAACCAAGAGGCTAAGAATGTCCCCAGAAAGCATCTGAGACCTGTATCAGAGGTTTCCCTGTAATCCACCTACCAGATTTACCCACCACTGTATTAGAAAAGTGTGTTGATTATGACTTTTTTGTTCTGTTACTATAAAAAGTTTATGAAATTGCTACCCGACTGGGTATTTGGGGTGACCTAAATCTGTGTTCTGGGGACACAGTCATTCATATTTGGCTCCAGAATAAACCATCTCTCTTATTCCTTTATGGTGAGAGCTATTTCTTTTGTAGACAACGCCTGCTTTATATATCTATGTTACAGTAGCAATAAAAGCCCATTTAGAGGAAATTCCTGGTCATAAGAATAAAACCTCTGGCCTGTGTGGCGGTATAACATTCCAGTTGAGCCAGGTCCATTATGTGCCAAGGCCCATCCCCAGGAAGGCAGGTTCATCTTAAGCCAGACAAAAGAGATTGACAGAATAATTGGGGCTTTATGAGATGAACTTTCTGCTGGAGTCCCCATCTCGAGAGCAGTGGCTTACTAGGCACAGAGGAAAAGCACAATCTCTTTCTAGCTTTTCTCTAAGTATATTTCCCCTAACATTTTGGGTTTCCGCAATATTTGGGATTCTTTACTCTTTCTATAGCTCTTCTCCTCCCAAGTGGCTGCTGGGTTATCATGTGTCTGACCTCTATGCTGGCTTACAGCATGTTTTTGTTTTTTTGTTTTTTTTTTTCCTTCTCTCCTCCATTCTCCTCCTTTGGGCAGTTGCTGAAATTTACAGCTTACCTGCCTTAAGGATTTTTCTTTTAAACTCTAATAAAATTGCCCTTAAGCTTCCATGTGAGTTGATTCTTAAATTCTTTTACTAACGAGAGTAAGAACCCCAAAAGACGACCTTGATTTCCCTTGTATCATCTATACACCTACTGGTGTACACAAATTTCTAGGGCAAGAAAGTCCTGCTGAAAAAGGTTACAAAACCCAATGTGTTATGTTATTTACATGGATGTGTGAAGACGAGTGGAGGAAAGGACACTGGGAACATTCACTATGCAATTAAACAATTTTTATGACCTACTTGCCAAACATTGACTGTCAAAAAGTCAAAGTAAAAGGAGTGTTTTACACTAAAGAAATACTAATTATCTCACTACCACAAGCTTTTCAGGAATTTGTACTTTTACCTCAAGTATTTCCATATCAATTGTAATGAATAATTTCGTGTGTTTTCTTAGGGAAATATGTAAATTAGTGTGTAATCACAATATTGCAGCAAACAAGATAAATGCAAGAATGATCACCTAAACATCTAATTAGTTTTCCTACACAGTCAGATTTATGCTGGAGACACTAATTGCGCCTAACATTTTAATGAAGGTTTCAACACTGCATAAATAAGACTGACAAACTACAAACAATCTTCATTTATTTTCCTTTTTCCCTTGCTCAAAAACAATTTGCCTTTGTAAAAGTAGCATACACCTGCCAGGCAAGATATGTGGATGGGTGCAAAGATCTCCATTTATCTAGGGGATGGGGATGCACAACAGACGATGGTCCTGGGGGGTGGGCCCAGAGTTGTGGGAAGAAGTCAAAGTTCTAAACTTTCATTCTGAATGGGGCAACTGGGGTATTTAAACACCCTCTGTCCATTAAAGTTTGACATAAAATTGAGGTTAAAAATGGAAGATTTACAAGAGACAGTCATTTTCAGCAGATGGTTGTATCACAATTTTCAAAATGACTGAATCTGAACTATTTGGCATAATTATGTTTTATGAATAATAAGGATGCAGACCTGCTTGGTCAGGAACCTGGGGTCCTGGAGGGCTGTGGGTCACTGGCTGTGCTCTCGGTTGTGTGACAGGGGTGAGGGTGGTTGTGGCTTGCTCTTCATCCTTGTTATTTCCACAAGAACTGCCTTTATGGAAAAACAGTTCCATTCCATTACTTTTTTGATATTTATAAAGTTGCTTTTGAAGAACAGTAACAATATGGCATATTTTTATTTGATTATTCAAAAGCAAATGAGAGGCAACAATATACTTTATATGCAACTTAATTTTTTAGTTGAATGCTTTACAATGAACTCAGCTGCATTTTTGTATAGCTTTACCTTAAAATTCTTTGGTATTTGCACAGGGACATTTTAGACTTAAGTTTTATAATATGTGATGAAAAATTACAAAACCCATATAATTTTAAAAAGGTTTTATATTTTTTTCTTGGGTTTTATGAAATGTGGAATTTTTTTCTTAACTTATAATATTTCTTAAATGTGACTCTTAAAGCAAGTTCTTTCCTTCATATCCTTAGGAAGATGGATGTGGGCATTATTGCAGAATTAGTTTTTTAAACTGCCCTTTTATAAAAATAACATAAAATCTGGTAGGTTGGATTTTGAGCCAATCTAGGAATCTTATTTTGAGAAATTGTGCTAACAGACTTGTTCATGATACCCATGGGCTGAGTTCAAGATAGACTAATATACGTATCTACAAATCTACACAAACATGCCTCGAATCCAGTCTAAAGGAATAATACATGAGCTACTTACACTTAGCTAGTGCTTAAGTGGGTGAAGTGTTTAAGTTGTAAACTACATCATATCATATGCAAAGAATCCAAAGGGAGACCCAGAAGTCTAACAAGAATTCTGAAAAGAGCCCGATTTAAAAAGAAAAGACATAAATTAAATTTGAACAATGATAACAGAGCTCAATTTTAGTGAAGTCTGTAGGCAGGAATTTCTATCACATTTGGGTCCTTCTTAAGGAAAAAACAGCACAGTAATTCAAGCTTTTCAGCCCTTGAGAATCAAGGAGGATGTCCTTTATTTCTGTAGTCCTTTCTGTTAATCCAGTGCATATCTATTAGGGCTCTAGAGCAATTCTTTGGTAGAAAATTTGATTTCCATAATCCCCATAGAACAGGCATTTATATTTTAAATGAATTGGTTCATAATCCTTTGAAACTTACAACCTACAGAGAGATTCCCTCCCCTGAATAATACACAGACAGTATTGAAATTGTGCCATACCACTGGGTGTCTCTGTCTTTTCTTGGCTGGAGCTTTTTAATAGAAATCTTCTCCTGTTCTTGTCTGCTGATGGTTCTGGATGGGATGGGGATGGGGGTGGGGATGGGGATGGATAATAGGTGGATTGATTGGTACATTTCCATATCAAAGAACAAAAGCCAGAACAGAAGGTACTATATTGCTTGATACAACACAGTAAATATGACTACCACTATAATGAGTATATTCATGCATCACTGTGACATAATTTTAGGCTGTATCAAAAACAAGACTTCATTTTTTACAGAAAATAGGCATTCATTACTTCCAATATTAGGATTTCTATAAGACTGATACATTTTACACATAGAATAAAATTCATAACATTCATAGAAGGGTACAAGAAATTTGACTGACAGGATGGGTATGATGGCCCATGCCTTTAATCCCTGTACTCAGGAGGGTAGATCTCTGTGAGGTTAAGCCCTGCTTGGTCTATATAACAAGTTCAAGGCCAATCAGGGCTGCATAGCAAGACTCTATCTTAAATATGAAAAAAGAAATTTGATCGAAATTATTCATACAACATGTTGTACTAAAAATAATAAAAATGAATTTGACAATAAATACAAAAAATTACTTTTCCCATAAAGAGGAAGTGGGGCTGAGTAAGGACTAGTTTTCCAAAGAAGTCTGGAGAACTCTGAAGAAGCCTGGAGAATTCTGAAGTATAATTTAATATTTAAATAATAATCATAGTAGCAGTTAATATTTACTAAACCCTTCATTTCTTGGTGCAATTTCCTGGGGATAGTGTCTGTAATAGTGATTATTAATTTCTAACTCAAATAAAATGAATTCAAATGTCCCTCCTTTCTTCTCTCACTGAAGTCATGCCAGGAAGGGTACAAAAATTAGAAAATAATTCAAAGTCTTGGGTTCTGGCCTTAATTCTGCTAATAAATATAAACTGCATTACCATCAGAAAGCAAAACCCAGGCACTACAGCAACACGTTAGAGCAGACTAAACAAGAGATGGTACAGTTGGCCACGCATGACAGGGACTTCCAAATGTATTCAAGCCTGCTGTGGTGGTACACGCCTTTAATCCTAGAACTCAGGAGGCAGAGGCAGGTGGATCCCCATGAGTTCCAGGACAGCCTGGTCTACATAGAGAGTTCTAGGCCAGCGAGGGCCACATGGTGGGATCCTGTCTCAAACAACAACCACAAAAATCTGTTAACTAGTAATTCTCTGGATTTAAGATCCAGTCTTGAGTATAACTTGATTGATCTCAACAAGAACACTCCTACTCTGCTGGCTCTTTTTCCATATGATCCTTACCAGGAATAGGTGTGGTCTGCTTCACTGGGCAGCGGCTCTCTCTCCCACACAAGCCTTTCTCTCTTTGTTCCTCAGACTCAGGTATCAGTAAGGATGACATTTCCACACTGTTAACACACTTCTCCACTGTGGGCTGCTGGCACAGCCGGCTATTTTTGGACCCATTTGATCTTACTGTCTATAAGAGGAATTAACCCATATATTAAAAATTACAGAAATTATATTTACTTTCTATAAAATCTACATGAGAAAATTTTGGAAAAATAAGTGAGAAGAAACTGGAGGAAATACAGATTGAAAGTGATGGGAAAGGAAGGGAAAGAAAATTAGAAAAAGGAGAGAAATACCATGAGATCCAATAGAAGACAAGCAAGTCTCCTAAACACACGGATTAAAATGTGCTCACATGCTTCGCCCTCTCTTCAGCAGGTAGGAGCTGAGAAAGAATCATCATGTATGTCAAAAATTCAAAAGAAGTTAAAAATAAAAAGCAGAACATTTGAGAATCTGTTCATTGTATTGCTTCTGGTCTTGATTCAACTTCTCTTTCGAAGGAGATGGCAAAATGCACTCATATATATTTGCCTATAAGTTTCAACAACATATTTAATGAGAAAACTACTCAAAAATTTTTAATTATGTTAACATGACAGAAAAAAATTTTTGAAGTCTTTTAAAATCCAAAATTCATGTTGTAAACATTATTTAAGCCTTCCACTTTGGGCAGATAGGCAGTGGCCCTCTCTCCCACACAAGCCATGTCTCATCCTATACCCCAGCACCCCTGCTTGTATAAGCTCTTCAAACCTTCCTCCCACCTCACTGGAAAGCCTCAGGTTATTCCTTCTGCCAGAGAGTGGAGGTGGCCCAAGAACTCTGGATCCAAAGGCGATGTGGCAAACATCTTGACTTTTACTGTTCCGGACACTGCCTGCTCCTCTATTGATGAACTGGTCTGTTTGTTAAAGAAGAGCAATAACAGTCCATTAATGGAGACGTGACAAATACCATGTCCCAGTACTTCTGAAAGTACAGTGCAGATGTCATGACTGGACTCTCTCAATACTTACTCAAAACGCAGATAATGTATCAGATACAGGAAATTTATAGGATGTTTTTTTACAAAATGAGAGGACTTACAATGTCCCTCGGGTAATTTGTATAATCACCATTACCTGAGAAATACTACTACAAGCAATGGTCTTCAAAAAAAGTTACTAAGATATATCTTAATTTCTTTTTTAGGAAAAAAAAATTATTCACTTCAACTAAACAAATATTTGTGCACTCTCTCAGGCATTTCCTATGGGTTATCAGTGATACAAAGATAGAGAAGACAATGCTTGCTCTTGGGGAGTCTGGGGGAAGTGATCCCACATGCAAGCGGTTTACTGAGCTGTGGGAATGAAGTGAATGGTCACTGAGTAATGGTGTAATGCAGGAATAAGAGATATTGGGTGCCCTGGGCAGAAGGAAGTACTGAAGGAGGGATGGAAAAGAAGGGCAGGCAAGCTTGGGAAGTTACAAGGGACCAGACCATCTAGATGGAGAAGCTAGGATCATACAGCCCCCAAATGCTAGGAGCCTATTCTGAATTGAGTGGGTGACAAGCGCCCCTGAAGATTCTGGGGAGAAAGAGAGAAAACCAGTGTCTCCTCCATGATGATGCAGACACTTCTAAAGCTGTGTGCCAGAAGGCCGTAGCAGGTGGAAAGCATCAGTGAGTTTGGGCTAATGGAATGCAGGAAGTGTCAGATGCTTCCCAGCAGTTAAAACCTCATGCAGAATCCTCCATGCTCTTTTCCATCTCTAGATAAGATGGAGAAAATGCTATAGAAGACTTTAAGGTCCCTGAAGGACCCACTAGATTAAAAGACTCCTCCACCAAGGTCTCTGAATGATAACATGGAAGGTTACTCAAAGATCTCAGATTGGTTCTGGGGAGGGGGGGATGTAGATACTTAGCCTTTACGAACAGTGCAGGTAAGGATGATGATAGTTCTTAACTCTAAACACTACCCACTTCCTGGAAACCTTCTGTGCCCCACCTTCAAGACAGGACCAATTTGAATATTAGGACAATGTTCCTGAGCAACTCCATACTGCGCTCTAGTCCTCGGCCTCTTCTGGCCTGCTGTACTGTTGTGAAACAATTCCTCTACCTTAGCCAGCTGGGAGCATTAGCCGTTGCTGTAGTGCTGCAATTTTGCAAATGATGGACTTAAAACGACTCCTACACAACAGAGGCACAGGTGTGAGAAACATACGGTACCAAGGAAGCTCCAAATATTCAAGGCTGAGTGAAAGTGATGTGGGTAGATGTATGAGTGCATTCTACCTGGGCAAGTGCTAGACCACCAAACTGAATAGAAAGAGTTTTTTTTCTGGATGGGAGACCTGAGGTGGATATGGAAAAGGTGAGGAGCTATAGACCGTACGGCCAGATTTTATTTCAAGTTTCTGAAGCCCTATCGTGTAGAAGAAACCTTCCGTTTGTCTAAAGGGCAGAATTAGGGTGAGTGTGTCAAATAAGTTCAGAAAATTTTTAGTCCCTACAAGGAACATCCTTCTTGAATTACGCCGTATCTGGTTGAGGTTTTTTGTCACTGTGAAGAGGAGTCTAGACAGCTACTCCGGATGCTCTAATGCACATTCAGACATCAGATGACTCTCTACGTCTGGAGGATATTTCTCTCTGAGCTCCATGCTATATCTGTTCTCTCCAGTGTCTAGAGGCACACCAGCCTGGAAACCTGAACTTGACACTTCCCGTTTCCAACCTGCACCGTCTCTCCTCCAGCAATAACATCTACATGCCCATGCTTCCTCTCCTGGCTGGCCACAGGCTCTCATCTGATACACCATGTCTGCTCTAGCGTCTGCCCATCCTTTCTCCAAAGTGCAGCCAGGGATGTCTTGCACAAACGTGTGACTGACGCTTTTCCATCCCTTCACTTACAGCTCCCCAATGGCACTGCCGCTGCTTCAGAGCCTCTTACCACCTAGAAACCTGTTTTCCTATGTCCTCCTGTGCTATGCCCTTGCTTCCTGCTCTCTCCACACCCTGGCCCTCTCAGTTCTTCCTGCAAGGTAGAGCATGACTGTTTAGCGTTCTCCAGGTAGGGATGCACTTCCTTTCTCTCTTGGCCTTTATGTCTCAGCTATCACTTCCTCAAAGAAGTCTTTCTGGATCTTTCTCATGCAGATAACTTCCCCCAACATATGCGCCCACATAAACGTCCCCTAGAAGAACTTGCTGGAATTGCACTTTTACATGTCTCTGGCATTCCCATGGTGTGTGTTCCAGTAGATGTCAAGTCAGTGGCCGGTTTCTGTAATCTTGACACAGAACAGGTACCTGATCTTGCTGAGGAAATAGATGAATCAGGTAATGAATCTGAAGGGAAGTTGGATTTAATAACTCAACTATTTCTAACTATATAAAATTTCATATTAAGAAAAATCTACCTGGGGTTTTATGTGTGAAATGAGGGAGAGGATGTTAGGTTGAGAGTACAAGGCTAACAGTTTACCTGCATGGTCAGGCGCTCAACCTCAGCAGGGCTATGTCACCACAATCTCATGCCTGCTGGGGTTACATCTGCAACTCCCTGCTGTCAAACAGACATCTATCTGTATGTGTGCATTTTTATCATTCCCCTGATCATTCATAAATGTCCCTTCAAATCAATAGAGCATTGTCAGTTTTTCCAGTTGAAAACAGAAACAATACTCAAATTCCAGGTCATTTGGCAAAAATCCATTATAGACATCATTTGTATTTTTTCATAATCAAGTGGAACAAATTCTAGATGATTTATTTTGTTCTCTGATGAGGATTTTCCTGGCTATGGAAGAGTCCTGAAAGGCTCTGTGGGGTACAGTGTGGCCTACAGAGGGATTCCCTACCAGCACAGAGCCCCTTCCCTGTACCTATCAATCCTGGGAACTATTCAGCCGGGAATTTATCTTTCATTTCATATGTTTTACAAGGAAAATTTCCTGCACTCTCCATCTTTATCTAAATTCAAGTTCCTTTCTATCAGTTTAAATTCTTTTGCATGAAAGAACATTTATTTTGTACGATATGTACCTATCTAGGAAAACCAAGTTAGTATATGGCAGACAATGGTTAAATTTCACCAAAATTACAGCTACTATGCGGGATTAAAATGAGAATTGGTGGTGGAGGAATTTTAGTCATTACATTGGCACTATTTCAGCTACAAATTTCAACACAATGAACATATTTTTAAAAAATAGTTTTTATCAAGTTTTTGTATCTTTTATATAATAGATCTTAATCAAATTTTGAGCCCATCCTCACACCCCTATGTCCCCCCCCCCCACCAGATTTCATGTATTCTGTCACATATGTTAAGTTCTATCTGGTCAAGAATCTGGTCATCAGATGTTCCTCAGTGCAAGTTCATCCACTGGAGTCTAATCAGCCTATCTAGAGTCGCTCCCTTAAAGGCGATCTATTCTCTGTCACCCAGCAGTAATCACTTGCCAATAGTCCTTTGGCTTAGGGTTAGGGCCTGCTGCCCATTTCCTTCATTCTACTGGGTTTTTGTCTGATTGAGTTGGCATGGGCCTTATGCACGCTGTCACCATTGTTGCAAGTTCACATGAGCAAGTTCCCAGTGGTGTGAAAGCCTTTGTTTCTTTATGTTCATGTACCAACCCAACCCTGGCTCTTACAATCTTTCTGCCCCCTCTTCTACAACGGTCCCTGAGCCGTGGGTGAGTCAGGTTTAATATAGGAGTCCTATCTAGGGAAACAAACTCTGGAATCTCTTATCTAAAACTTCGCCAGTTGTAGTCTTCTGTATGCATTGTACTCTGTTGTGTGAGGAAGCTTTGCTGGTGAGAGTTGAGGGATGTATTAGTGTTCTCTCTACCCCCAGTTCTGCTATGTTCCATGAGCCCTAGGGATAGAGGTTCAAATGTAGATGTGTCACTTAGGGTGGGGCATCTCTCAGACATATATTCTCTGTGTGTGACCACTTGTAGAACAATGAACATATTAACTATTCCTAGATAACTAATAACTATTCCTAGTAATTCCCAGATACTTTGAACTTGTTAAAAGAATCTTTTACTTAGTGATGGACATACAGTGATTATTAAAGATACAGCTAAATCTAAAATACTGTCATCTCCTAAAGCACAGAAAACTAGATGCTATTCTGGGTTTTAGAAGAGTAATTCACCACAGTGTATTTAAATTTAAATCTTTTTAAAAAATTATCTGTTTTTTGGTCACAAAGTATACAAATACTCCATTACTTAGGATCTTTGTAACAGATCTCTTTAAGCTTGATACTGCAAGTGTATCAGTTTTGTAAATCCCGTTTCATCCTAACAATTCACTACTTATAATTATATTAATTACCATAATTAGTTCCCCATAAATATGTACTATATTATGCATTTATTAGGATAGGTTCCTAATTAGAGCCAATAAGGAAAAGTAATTAGGTTTTGATTTCTAAAATAAAAATAGAAGGGACAAAGTCTATATGAAAAAAAATCTTAATAGCAGAAAACTACAAGCAGAAATGCACACCTCTAGAATTTTAAAATGAGCTATTTTAAAAGCTGATATCAATCTGCATAAAATAAGGTTAAATATCAAGATTAGATTAAAATCATGCTGTAGGCAATTCATTTTCTTGAGTCAGTGGAAAATGAACTTGGTGTAGGTCAGTGATGTTACCATTAATTATTTTGCTATTTTACTGAGGGCTGCACGCCTTTGTAGTTAGATTGTAAAACCTGAGGGCCTACTCTCTAATTGTCTTTTAGAAAAATAAACATTCATTTTTTTTTCTCAAGACACAATGTTCAAATTATTATAGTCATTTAAGTTTGCAGGGTTTTCAAAGATTAACCAGAAAGAACTGCTGAATTTTCACCCCGTCATTGAGGGGTCATGCTCAACACTGACCT